GTAGTTCTATTTCTAGGGTTGTGGGGATCCGTAAATATGAAGGGATAGTTTATTATTGTTGATTATCAATGCTTGATTGATTTCCTATTGATTGATTTAATGCTATGCAATTAGATTGGCCAGGTTTAATTGTATGAGTTATGCAATATTGATTCGAGATTCGAGAGATGAGAATTGATGTTTAGGCTTAGTTTCAATAGGCAGGTTAATTTATAGATGGTTAAGTCAAGATTCGAGAGATGCGATGTAATACCGGTAGATTAATTCTGTGATTGTAATACGTAGCGAAAGCCCTTTATGATCTGATTAATTGATACATTGGTGATTGATTATTGTGTTTTACCCTGGAATATTATTTATTAGTGAACCTATACCCTAGGATTTGATTTATTGATTTCTCCCTTATTTAATTTGCTTTAGTTTAATTATTTTTCCCTTAGTTAATTTTCACATATATAATAATATTTCGATTACTTAATAGTTTAGATTATATTATTTATTTAGGAATAGAAAGACTTGTTTCCCTGTGGTTTCGACCTTGCTTCCCTATCTACTTTAGTTAGAGGACTTAGGTAATTCTTTTGATTAGGTAATACGACTTTAACCTGTCAAGTACCTTTCACGTCTCTGATTAACGAGTTCGGTAAAGAGTTGAAGAGTCTCGTGAACTTCCCTTAAGCCTTGACCATAACCCTAACCTTTCCTAAAATATTTTAGTCCAAAGCTATTCATTTCGTGTCCCCTAAAATCATTCATTTTGTGCCCAACTCATAAAACGTCCCAACCAGATTATTTTGGTCCATAATCCTAGTCCAATTATTGATTAGTTGGATAGGGTTTGACAAGAGATTTTCAACGATATATTATTAGCCCAAATCCGACTTAAAACGAATAAGTTACGGCCAAAATACTAAACCAAGCTCAAACAAAGCTTAAGTCCACCTTACCTACGACCCAATGATCATATGAGGGTCCAAATATCTTATTCCCAATCCTAAACCAATTAGGATTCCTTAAGGAGCTTCTAGAAGTCTCTAGAAGGTTCTAATTTATCCATTCCAAAAAGATAAAGATCAAAAGAGTTCGAAGCTGATTAAAATTTCTCATATGATAGTCTTTATCCCGATCAAATTCAAAGACGTACGGATGTATTTCGTTAACCCAATTCTATTAGGAATTAAACTCTATACGGCTTAATCATCTTTGAAACCATCGTAGAACGACAGAACCATCGTGTCGAGATAGTCTCATCGCGCTGCGATGGATTCTGTCGCGCCGCGATACTTCTATCGCCCCGCAATGAAACCTATTTGATTCCGTTCCAAATTCTGATCTTTTCTGATCAATCGACTCTTTTTTTTCTTTATAAATAAAAGTCGTTTTCCCTGTTTTTTAAATCAGCTAGAACCATCAATCATAAGCCATAATTAGCTATAACCACCTAGCTCCAATCACCATCATCATCATAATTCCCGGAATTCTTAATTCCATGTTCTTAGCCTAAACACATCCTTGATACATCCCAAATAAGTCACAATTCCTCATTCACAAGACTTGAATACTCCTAGCCATCCTCGATGACCCAATGATCGTATGAGGGTCCAAATATCTTATTCCCAATCCTAAACCAATTAGGATTCCTTAAGGAGCTTCTAGAAGTCTCTAGAAGGTTCTAATTTATCCATTCTAAAAAGATAAAGATCAAAAGAGTTCGAAGCCGAATAAAATTTCTCATATGATAGTCTTTATCCCGATCAAATTCAAAGATGTACGGATGTATTTCGTTAACCCAATTCTATTAGGAATTAAGCTCTATACAGCTTAATCATCTTTGAAACCATCGTAGAACGACAGAACCATCGCGCTGCGATGGACTCTGTCGCGCCGCAATACTTCTATCGCCCCGCGATGAAACCTGTTTTATTCCGTTCCAAATTCTGATCTTTTCTGATCAATCGACTCTTTTTTTTCTTTATAAATAAAAGTCGTTTTCCCTGTTTTTAAATCAGCTAGAACTATCAATCATAAGCCATAATTAGCTATAACCACCTAACTCCAATCACCATCATCATCCTAATTCCCGGAATTCTTAATTCCATGTTCTTAGCCTAAACACATCCTTGATACATCCCAAATTAGTCACAATTCCTCATTCACGAGACTTGAATACTCCTAGCCATCCTCGATGTGAAAGGTTGATAGTTATGAGGGTTTGGTCCCAAATATATATTTCGATTCATATTTTTATTTACTTTATTGATTTAACTTTCTTGAAGTTTACTAACGTGTGTATTATTTTAATATCAAGAAGGTTGAGGCATCAAAGTAAGTAATTCAATTACTTAATTATTTCTTTGGATTTGGAGTAGAAATCATGTTTATAATGTTATTTGAATTCCTAGTATCATGTTTAGGATGTTATTATGATTTCTAATATCATGTTTAGGATAACGCTTTAATTTTGTTATTAGTGACATGCTAGTGTTTGTTATTAATCCGTTTAGTATTATGCCTAGGATCATGCTATTAACGGTGTTTTGATGATGATGTTACGATGATGATTGTTGTATTAATCATATGTTGCTTGATTATTCATGATTTATTGTTATTGCTTGATCACGCCCTTTTTGTAGGTTTAAAGAGAATTTGTACTTGAAATCACGCCTAATAAGATAATTAATAATTTATTTTAGGCTAATATGATTGTAATTCAAGTGATCACCAATAATAGATTTGATTGTGCATTGATAATCAACCAACGTAGATTAATCAGGTTTAGGATTAACTCGATGTATGTATGTTGATCGAAAAGCACACATGAATATCATAAGAATTAGTAGATTCCTATTTAGGGCAGGTTCAATCTCTTTTAGGTTAGATTCGTACCATCATCCTCGAACATCCAGTCATGATTCCGGACCACTATGGAGTTAGCGATCTCCGTGATCGTGAATGGGGTGTAACCTTCACACCCGTGAACGGTTTACAAGTTCCTAAAACTTGTCGGCTACTCTTTTACCTCTAGCTTCTTTTCCTTGGAACGCCGCCATGCCTAAAAGCATGAACCACGATAGGGCTCAAAGATGAGTTTGAAATTTTCCAACAAGCCTATATGGCTTGAAAGGCCATAACGAGAGGGGCTACAAGAATGCATCACCACATCAAAGTCAACACTGGAGCACACCAGAAGAAAAGGCACACACTGGTGCAGATGCAACTAATACCACCATTCCTATGCATATGACGAGTTTTGGGGTATACACATACCCAAGTGGGTTTCAAAGAGTAGCATCAATAAGTACACTAAGGACTTGTTCTCTTCACCTGAAACAAGGAGGTATGATTTTCATAAGGTCTGATCTAGTCTGATTTGAATTTTTATTATCTGATCTGGTCTGATCTATTTTAATAATTTGACTAAATTTTGACCGTATTTTAATACTAATCTATACAGAAATTTTTTTTTATCAAAATGGATCTTGTTAGATTCGTCTCATTATGAACTTTTCAAATATGTAATTTTCATAATTTTTTGTAATACGCAATTAACAATATTTAGCAATAAGTAAATGATAATTAAAAATTATGATCTGGTTTGATCTGAATGTTTCTGGTCTGGTCTGATCTGATCTGAATTTGTTAAGGAATAAGTAATAAGTACCTGAAATAAGTTGAAGAGAACATGTCCTAAAACTCTCTAATTCATTTTTTTTTAATTTTGTAATTTTTAAAAGACTCACTCAGCCCATTACATTTTTTAAGTTTAAAACCCTCCTCAAAGAAGCTCTCAACCATAGGCATAAAGGGCCTTCTACATTGACATTGATGGAGAGTAAAACACTTTACTCCTTCAGTTAAGATCAATACCTCATGTCAAGCCAACAACAAAGCCAAAATGCTAGCACCATTTTAAGTCAAGCATTACTGGTATAAACATGGAATTATTTCAAATCAAAAGATTAGTTTTATTCAAATTAGGCAAATTCTTATAGTTTATCTTTTTTCAATAACAAGATTTAGCTAAAAATAAGAGAAAGGGCAAACATTAACTATATAAGGTAAATAAATTACATCTTATACTTATGTCATTCATTTCTTCATAGCAAACCAAATTCTAGCTAGAAACAACACAAGAATTACCTTCCAAAGATCACAATTGATCCTTAAATTCATCCTAGTAGCCCTTATTAAGCATCAAATAATCACTTTCAATCTTCCTTGCATATATACTGGTTTGCTTGCTTCAATTCCTTTTGCATACACATCACCTCATTCTTCATTTCCTGCTTTTTTGCATAAACCCCAAAATGACCTCAATTTGCCAACCAATGGGGTCTTTAGTGTCCACCCGACCACCTAAAGAACTTGCATCCCCTTCATTCTATTTCTACATCATAGACAGGGCAAGCAAGGAACCTTCTACTAAGGTTGTCCTTTGTCCATACCCTGCTCTTAGAGCCTAACAACCCACAATGACATCTATTTCCTGCTAGGCTAATCTTTGACATGTTTTAATTAATTAGAATTATCAACTTAATTATTTTTTATTCAGCTTGTATATTTTTTATTTTTAAATTTTTGCCGTAAAAGTCTAAATGTTAATGATGAATATGGAGCAATTTATATATGCACGCAGTTAATTTTTTTTGAATTGTAACGATTGTTATGTGACAGACAATTGTTGAAAGTATCCAAACTTCAATACCTTTCTGAATTATGTGCAAGCCAATTTTATTTTCCATTTATTTTGCAAAGAATTACCGATTATAGAAGGTCATAACTTGTTTAGGTATCTTGTTTGCTCACTTCAAAATTCAGTACCTCATCCGCAACTAAATGCAAAGCTCAATATTTTGTATTTGTGTTTACTTTTTAAAAGTATTTGTTTATATATTTTCATTCATATTAATATTGCTGAAAAAGCTCCCACACATTGCTACCTAGCGCACGAATAAGTAAATAAAACTACTAGTAAAAAGGAAACTTCGTCATTGGTTTTCACCAAAGAAATAAATAAGAAGTATGTGGCAGTTGGATTTTTACACTTCCCCCATTAAAGGTCCCACACTATTGCTCCCCTCTCACTACTACACAAACTCCTCCTGCAATCCATCATTCTTCCCTCTTTTTCCTTCCCAATTTCTTCAATCTCACTCTCAAATTCAACCCCAAATTTCATCTTACACCCCAAAATTTCTCTATTCTTCCCCAATTCAAACCCTAGATCTTTCGCATGCCTAAATCTCTTTCTCTGCAATTCTTTCGCCATTGCCAGACACCTCCACCGACGAATACGAGGACGAACAACACTCTCATTCTCTCTCCTACTTCATTTTCTTCCCATTCTTTCGATTTTTCTCAGGTATTGTTTATAATTTCTTCATTTTTGGTTTAATAATGGCGTTTCAAGATCCGATCCAATGAAGCTGGATCCATTGTAGTATTCGCGTTTAACTGTAGCATCTGATTTTTTTATTGAAATGGTTGGTTTTTTGATTTGCAGGTTAATTTTCATGGGAAGATGAATTTGCAGTTTGTAGTGTTCGTATAGTTGGAAGTTGATTCTTTGGTTTAATATTGTTGATTTTGAAGAAAAAAGTAGGCGAAAATGATCAACACGTCACTTGCACTCACCTATTTGTACTTATTGATTTACATTTTGCTTTCTTCTGGAGTTATACTGTACAATAAGGTAATCTTCAATTCATTTCATCTAATTAATGATTATTATAGCTTTGATTTGTTTCATTATCACTGTATAATTTTATATATTAAATTTGTACTTGGCATTACAAGAATGTTTTACTAGTAACTGTTCTAATTGATTTGTTATAAGACATGCCCAACACTAATACTCCGGTTGCCACTGGCCGCGGTATTGGTTAGAAGATCTTGTATCTGGAAACATAATGACCTGAGGCTGCATTTGATACATGTCATTTAGATATGGAGTAGTAGTATGCTTGATTTGCATAATTTACCTCTTTAGAAGCATTTTCATTTTTCTTTATTTAGATTTGGGATCAATTTACTAGACAAGGCCATGGTTATCTAAACCCCAGTTACTTTACCTTGCCTTGAGAGGGGGGGGGGGGCATTTTTAGAGTCATTGGAGTATTGTGTTTGTTGGATATCTTATGAACCTTCCCATTATGTTGCCAGCTCTTATATTGTGTTTGGACGACGGGAATGAACTCATGAAGGGATGAAGAGAGAGTGAACAGTCTTTTTCCCCTTATGTTAGTGTGGGGAAACTTGGTAAGGGAAGAGAAGGGAGTCCTGTGTGTTATTGATGCATGTAAGTTGGAATTCTGGTCATAAGTTTTGGGTTTCAATGCCCATAAATTTCAAAATGCTCTTTATAGGATGTTGTGATCCTTCATGCGCTATTGAGATTTATATCTGTTAAAATTATGTTCCACTTGTGTAAAACAAACCTGTGGGTATGCATGGAATTTATTCCTCTCGAATCTCGATCAAGAAAAAGATGTTTCCAGAATTAGTAGTCACTACGGATAAACCTTTTCATTAATTTCTTGTAATCATATACAAGCCAGACTACTTTCCTCATATTTTCCTACTCTCAAACCAGGAATGCAAGTATTAATTTCTCAATAACTGTAGTAAACTAGTAATTTATTATTACTTGGTGTGAATCTATGGGACAATGGACATAGACAACTGCTTTACATGAAAACCTTTATTTCCCAAGAGTTTACGTTCAATCCTTTTATATTCCTGGGTACATGCTTTATCAAATTACTAGCCCTATATGCACGTGATGTGTGTGTGGTTGATGTGTGGAAGCTTAAAACTACTCATGTGATTTTGAGATGTGACTTAGAAAAAAATCACCTAAAGCTTTAAAGTTAGTAGAATGAATGGATAAAAAATTTAATGAATTTAAGGAGAAAAATGAATTGTCTTTAAATGTAAAAGGAGAATGCATATAACTTATATTATCTTTGTTCTTAAAAGATGCTCTCATATGAAATATTCATATATATTCTATTTATTCGCTCGTAAAATATACATGGTATAAGAAACTACTCAATCATCATTATGTAATAATTATTTTTGTTTGGTTATACATTTTTTTTAGGGTAGTACATTCTCGTAAGGGTTTTTTTTTTTTTTTTTTTTTTTTTTTTTTTTTGGGGGGGGGGGGGGGGGAGGTGGTGGGGGTGGGTGGAGGATTAAATTTTTGAATCTTTGTACACATTGTCTTGCCATTTCTACTGCGTTTTTGTTGTTGGGTGACATTTCATTTTGTTCCACCCCATAGTTTCCTTGATTCATTATCCATAGAATCAAGAACATGTTATGGATATGATTTTTCACGAAATTTTTTCATCTTCAGATAAATGCTTATCGACTTCCAAAGACAGTAGTATTGCATAATTTTGGGGCATTCAGTTTGAGACATGACCAATTTATTACCTATCTACACTCTTTTGCTTTAGGTTTAAGTATAGTTGTCCATATAAATAATGATTGTGTAAAATAGCTGACATGGGTATTTGAACTGAAAGTGTTTGTTTGTGACCTGCATGAAAAGGTTTTGGCATATATTAGTATTCATTGTTTCCATTTACTATCTCCTTTCCCGGTCTTTTGTGCAGATCGCTTTAACGAGTTATTTGTATGTTTGAATTCATTGACAGTGGGTTCTATCTCCGAAGTACTTCAATTTTCCATTTCCTATAACACTCACAATGGTTCATATGGGGTTCTCCGGTGTTGTGGCATTCTTTCTTGTTCGTGTTTTTAAGGTATGGTTTTGTTACGTTATAGGAGTTTCATTTTTTTTCAGTCTTGGTTGTTATTAATTGTGTTCATACTTATAAGCTATAACTAATAAATTAAAGTATACTTTCATATTTTGTTTCTTTCCTATTATCCTGCTATGTCTTTAGGTAATATGTATCTACTGCTATATTGATTAAAATGTGTTCCACTGAAAATCAGTGCCTGAAATATACTTCATTTTCATACATGAAGCCCTTTTATGACAAAGAATAATCTACTTTTTTTTTTTTCCTTACTTTGCTTTCTTTTGTTGGTATTATAATTTTATGTCATTTGTCCGTGTCATCATTTTAGTTCTTCCCATTTGGAATGGGTGAGTTGATTATGAAATTCGACACTTATCGAGAGAGAAACAATCAAAGTAACAGCGATTCTAATTTTTCATCAAAGATTCTCACTCTTCAAACAAAAAAGAAAAAAATGAGGAACAATGTAAATAATTTCACATTTGGGAAGAGAGATTGATTATTAAAAATTGGATCATGCATGGGAAATTCAATTAGTGAAAAATTGTATAAAAGATTGTATTGAAAAGATAAATAGGTAGTAAATTTTACCACATTCACCAACAATGTATTAAAATTCAAGGTGCGCTGAAGCAAGAGTGGTTCTGTTGTGCCTAGGCGCGCCTCAGAGTACCTCTTTGAAGTAAGGCGCACTATATGAACAGTTAAAAAAAATTTTGCTTAAGTTTGCTTCTGGTGCATCTTGTGAGCTTTTGGTGCGCCTTATGCGCCAAACCAAAAACGTTTCGCCCAGACCAAATTAAGCGCTTACCCCTTATCGCCTTGTGCCTCAGGCGCGCTATTTCAAACATGTTCACCAATTAAATGGAGGAAAATCGAAGAATTTTAACCATATATGGAAAGATTCCAATTGGGAAGAGCTTTTTGAACCTTTCTAATCGGAAAACGGGAAGAACAAATAGAGTATGAGGAAGTACTATTTTTGTTTGCTTATGAATTTGGTAATTCGTATTTAAAGCTACTCAATTTTGCTTCTGAGTTTGTTAAATCAACTGAATTGCTGTGGACATAAATGTATTTATTCATTTTTGATGTATAACTGAATGGCTGATTTGGACATAAAAAGATCTACACACTTTTCCCATCAAATTGCTCTTCACCTACATTCCTATTTTGCATGCATCATTAGTCATGCTAATGCTGACAAATGGAAGAATCTTTTGTGCTCCATTTCATTCTATGTACCTGTATGAGAAATCTCTCTTCCTCCTCTTGGGGTAATTATACAATCTGATTATTTTTATTTTTTATTTTTGTGTATGGCTCAGGTTGTAGCTCCTGTCAAAATGACATTTGAAATGTGAGTGGCATCATGCTCCTATAATAATTTTTTTTTTTTTTTTTTTTTTTTTTTTTTTTTTTTTTTTTTTTTTTTTTATAATTATGGCTTTCTTTTCAGTTTAGACTGTTTCTTATTCTAACTCTTTATCTCATTGGCAGTTATGCAACATGTGTAATCCCCATAAGCGCTTTCTTTGCTTCAAGTCTATGGTGAGCCTTTTCAATGCCGCTACTTTTGTTTAGGTTGATATCAAAGATGATCATGGCCACTCTAAATACTTGGAACCTTATAATTCTGTATCGTTTTATTAAAAGAAAGCTGAATCAGCTTACAGAGTAAACCAGACTGAATATTTTTAAAGTGTGTGAGCACTCCTGTACACCAGTTGTCATGGTTTTCAGGAGCTCACACAGGGCATGCTTAGCTTAGAAATAGAAATAACCTGCTTAGACTGAACCAATGCACTTACTCAAGTACAGTCAATCAGAGTTCAGTCATCTAGCAGTTTATTCTGAATTTACTCTGCAATGATTGCCTGTAGAAACAACATAGCCGGAGAAGTTGATGTTTTCTGTAGCTTTTATGGGATTTGTGATAATTCTTCTTTTGATGCATCTGCATGTTGTAACTAGTTCCCACTTTTTTGGTTAAGATCTGATTGATCAGTTGATGTTTCATTAGGCCGAGTCTAACAAGTTTACCTTGAGGTGGTCCAACTCTTATGTGTGTGTGTATGACGAATGTCTTGAAAATGCCTCTTCACTAGAGGAAAATTGAAGAGTTAATTGATGAATAATCTTCAACAAAAACTTTAATTTAAGAAAGTTTTCACTTTTCAAGATACATCATTTAGGATTTTGTGTTTTTGGGAATAACAAATGTATTTAATAGTTAATATTAATTGGGTTGATCATAATGTACTCAATATATGACATTTATTAATTAAGTCTTTGTGTTTACTAAATTCTATACCTAATTAATAAATTTAATTTGTGTAAAATGTAAATAAAGTTGATAATAAAAAATTAAATAATTGATCAAATTGATTGTTGATAATAACTAGTAATTAATTTTTAATGAAGAAGATATTGCTCCCTCGATTTTACCCATGCACTAATCATCTAGCAACCACACACTGTTTCACCCATTCACCCTTGTTTCTATATTTTCATGCACAAGGCACAACCTTCAAATGCAATTATGCAATCGCTAAGATATAATAATCATCCTTATTCACCTAAGTCTCATCATAAGGTAGTATAATAATGTAAATAATCTAACTAGGTGTTTTGATGTCAGACTACCATTTTAATGAAGTCGGATGACTCAGATCAAGTTTTCATAGTATAGTATGTCCATGGGCTTCATGGATGCTCCTTCCTTAATAATTATAGATGAACATAGGTAGAAAAAGAGGTTCTGTTCTTTTGGGTAGTGGTTCATGTTTGACATCAAACTCTATAATTGATTGAGACTAAATGATATGTGATTGTGTATTAGTGCTTTAAATTGGGGAGAATGTGTTACTTGATAATTCCATTATGATTTGTTGGAAGTAGAAGAAATTGGTAATTACTACGCTCTCTCCCTCAGGTGTAAATTTTTAATTTTTTTTTAAAAAATAGAGAATATGAACAGCTATTGTAGTTTAGACTCCTAAGTTTAACTTTGAACAACATTGTTATATTTATTTATTTTTCCTTCAAATATATTTACTGGAGAAATGTTTTTGTATAGTCTACACCTGATTCGCTAAGTATAAGGTTGCACATCTTAGACCTTATGGGATAGTTAATATCTGTTTGAGGTGTGGCTACTAGCGTGTTTTTGTGCTATGTAACACGTTGGCTTTTCAACAATGGATAGACCTAGCTTATTAAAACAATGCAATCTCACTACTTTAGGAATGAGATGATCATGTTGGAGTAAATTAAATGACGAGCTGTTAATTTTATTAATGGCGCAGTAATAGTTAGTATTCTATCGTTTTTAGTGGTTGTTTGTTTGGTGGGGTGGGGCAAAGGGTGATGGGGCTGAGATTTGTTTAACAATTCCTTCATTTTACATGTTCCTTAGCTTCTCTATTTCCTAAGTCATCATGTGTGGAGACAGGGAATGCTTGTGTTAACTCCAAAGGCAACATAAGAAAGTATATACTCCGTAGTTATTATAACAAGATTAAGAGTCATATTTTTTGTTGTTGTCAAATTTGTAATTTTAATAGAATCAATTAATTTATATATATAAAAAAAAAAGTGTTATTGGATGGCATGAAAATTTTTGTGGCACTTCACTATCTAAGTTAGATATGATGCTGTTTTGGGGAGGATGCATAAAAGATGCTTGTATATATGTAAGCTTGAAATTGCATTAAAGTGTATATTATTGAGTCACCTCTTAAGAGTATGTGCAATAGGCCTGTTGGTTGATTTTTTGCACAATCCTTTTTTTTTTTTTTAATCTGAAAAGTTTTGATGTACTTACTCGGTTTTTTATTGGATCCATCTCTTTCTAAAAATGGAAGTTTCCATTTAGATGCATCACTTTCCCTTTTGGTTATAAATTCTCTCTATCTCTCTCCTATCACATGGGTCCTCTTTATTTTTTCTCTCTATCTCCCTCTACTCCAAAGAACACCTAGGAGTCTGCAATTACAAAAGTGATGCGACTAAAAAAAAACACGGAGTAATTATGAATTTTCACTTCTAATCTGTGAGGCTGTGAGCCAAACTTTGATGTGTCAATGATGTTTGTTTTTTCTGGTAATTTCAGGTTTGGAAACACTGCTTATTTGCATATTTCAGTGGCCTTCATTCAAATGCTTAAAGCTCTGAGTATGTGCAATAAATAGTTTGAATTGTCTTTCATTTTTTATGTACTTCAGAGTACTACGTAGTTATTTATGTTATTATATCATTATTTTTTATAAAAGCATGCTTAATGCAGTGCCTGTGGCAACTTTTCTCATGGCCGTTGTGTGTGGCACTGACAAGCTAAGGTGTGACGTGTTCTTGAACATGCTCCTGGTCAGTGTAGGAGTTGTCGTCTCCTCATATGGGGAAATCCATTTTAACATCATAGGCACACTATATCAAGTGACTGGAATATTTGCTGAAGCACTTAGGCTGGTCCTGACTCAAGTCCTCCTACAAAAGAAGGGCTTGACTCTCAATCCAATCACCAGCTTGTATTACATAGCTCCATGCAGGTATGAAGTGGGCAATTAGTGTTTGTCCTTAGTACATGTGTGGAAATTCCGTCATCAGCGAAACTCATCAATAAATGATGTATTATTGTCGTATAATTTAGTCAATTTATTTTGTTTTTGCTAGAGATCAGAGAGATAGTTGTCTGCGTTAACAATCTTCATAGATAAAAAGCTCGCTATTTGTCAGTTTTCTAGCTTTCGATTATTGAATCTGTTGTTAAGTTGGTTAGTCTTTGTCTTCCTGATAGGTTTTATGAAGGGAAATATCTTAACGAGGGGTAAAGGATGCAGGCATCTGATCTTTCTTTACTCTTGCTGTAGGTGGAAGGCTCATGAGAAGCTCTAGGATATTATATCATACTAAAGTTATAGTTATAGTTATAGAGAGAATGACGCTCATAAAGGTCTTCTAAGTAGCCAGTGACCTTCCTTTGAAATGAAATAATGTTATCTGTAGTTGAATAACCCTTGAGTTTGTTTATTTATGTATTTCTAATCAAAGTAAAATTTGTTTTCTTTTTATTTATACTTTTGAAATTGTTTGCCTATTTGAATTGCTATTTATGGCAATTAAAAATTATAACTTGTAAGCCGAAACCTAAATTTGACCTTTAAATGGTCAATTTTTTGGTCAAGCTGGGTGAAGTGTTGATTTTTACAACAATTTGTGGTCAATTTCAGTGTGTTTGGATTGAAGGAAATGGAGGGAAGGGAAATGGAGAGATGAGGTATCTTTCATTTGGATAACAAATGAGGAAGGAAGGGAATTGGAGGGAAGAGAAATGGAGGGATTAAATTGTAGGAAATTGATCCCTCCAACAATGGAGAGATTGGGAAGGAAAACTCATCATTCTTCCTTCCCCTCCCCTCCTTTTCTCCTCCCTCCCCTTTTTTCCTTCCCCTTTATTTATCCAAACACACCGTTAGAGTCATATGACAATCATTTACAGTGTGTTTGGATAAAGAAAGGGGAAGGAAAAAAAGGGGAGGGAGGAGAAGAGGAAGATAGGGAAAGGGAGGGGAGGGAAGAATAGTGAGTTTTCCTTCCAAATCTCTTCATTGTTGGAGGGATCATTTTCCTACAATTTAATCCCTCCATTTCTATCCCTTCCAATTCCCTTCCTTCCTCATTTGTTATCCAAATGAAAGATACCCCATCTTTCCATTTCCCTTCCCTTCCTTTCCCTCCAATTCCTTCAATCCAAACACACTGTTAGAGATCAAATTAGGGTGTGGTTTTAGCTTAAAGATAAAGATGTTTATTCAAAAAATTTCATAAAGGATAGTGAAATCCAATAAGGGTTGTGTAAAACGTAATGTCTTGTAAAATTTGGTTCATGTAGCCGACCCCACTTATGGGATTAAGGCTTTGATTGATTGATTGATGTGTTTATTGAGTCAGCACTTTCTCTTTTGTGGTGTTAACTGCTTGAGCGTGAGAAAAAAACATGTATGGAGTCGTTTTCTGTGTTACAGTTGACACTTTGAACAGCTTAGACTATACTTTGTTGTGAAGAAAATTATCTTATACATCTATACTTTTTGCCATGCAGTTTTATGTTTCTGTTTATACCATGGTATATGCTGGAGCAACCTCACATGGATATTTCTCGTATTCAATTTAATTTCTGGATTTTCTTCTCCAATGCTCTTTGCGCACTGGCCTTGAACTTCTCAATTTTCTTGGTTATCGGTAGAACTGGGGCAGTTACTATCCGTGTTGCTGGTGTTCTTAAAGACTGGATTCTGATAGCCCTTTCAACAGTGATTTTTCCCGAGTCAGCCATTACAGGGCTCAATATAATTGGTTACGCAATTGGTACTAACCTTGTTTACATTGTGTGACCTTATTAAACTAATTTTAGTGACCCTTAATTTATCTAATTTCTTTTGTTTATTTTTTCATTTTTTCCCTGCTTCTTGTATGTTTATGTTTTCAATTGATTCGACTGTGTAGCACTTGTTGGTGTTGTTATGTACAACTATCTAAAGGTGAAGGATGTTCGTGCAACTCAACCAGCTTCACCTGAAAGAATTACAGATAGAGTTGCAAAGGTATGCTTTTTAAATCTCAATGATTTGTCTTTTCTATCCAGTGAGCTTGTACTGATTTTATGACTTTCTGCTGGTTTATGAGCATATATTTTCTCTCTCTAATTACTCGTCCCAATTGCCTTTCCCATCCCCAAGGCCATAATTGACCAATGACCATTATGATCTTTAGCTTGTGTTTTAGTAAATACGGATTATCATAATATGTTGATATTTTGATGCACTTAAGATGAATCTACAAAGATGAAAGATCCGTTATGTTTTCTAGTATTCTAGTTGTAGAAAATTATAGATAAAGTTGATAACTATTCCATAAAGAAAATGGAGCAACTAATACGAGATGGAAAGACTTATTTTATTGCTTTATTAAATATATTTCATTTAGTTTTTTCCTTAAGTAAATTTCATGCTTTATTAGGCTTAAGTGACTACCAAGGTTCTGGTTTTCAGTATTGCGTGTTTCGTAAGACTACCATTGTTTTTAGTTAGTAATTGTTAAAGCTGTAAAAATCATGTCCGAAAATTCTCTTTTGATAATTTCTGAGTTTGGCTATAGCTGTTAAACATTTAAATTTAAAGTTATTCTGCTTCAGTATCTGACTCGGTGTATATATTTTCACTAGCCATATAAAGTATCCATCACAGAACACTATTTTTTTCTAAATGATGATTTGCGGCAATTTTGAGACTACTTTTAGATTATTTATAAAAATCTCAGGGTATTTACATGTAGGCCTGTTCAACGTGACTTTAAAAACAGGACAAATTATGGCAGTGATGTAATTTTTTGTTGAGATTCCTTTACTTTGCTGGATGCAGGATTGGAAGTTTGAAAAGAAGTCATCTGATATATATGTACCCAACGATGATGTTAAGACTGGTGGAGGTGGAGGGAGTAATTCAGCTTCTGAAATGATTGTTGACGAAGAAGCTCCTTTAATTACATCCTCCAGGCTATCTCATATAGGGCGAACACAGGTTAACCCACATCCTGCTTGATTGGTTTTTGAGACATGGATCTTATATTACCCCACTCTGCAGAGAAGAATAGGAGCAGAAAAATAGCGGCATACATTATATTTTCTAGGCATCAATATGCATCTTTTTGCTGTAATTTTTTTAGGACATGAAAAATTTAGGAAAATTCATTGTAATGACTTGAAATACAACCCTTTGTGGTTTTTTCATGTATTTGAAATCAGAACATTTAATTCTCTTCGTGTTCTGTTGGTAACTTGAGTTCATGTTTAACATCTATGCATTGATTCTTTGGGCTGCAGCTCTTCTCGTGCAGTTCTATCAGAAAAATTCCAATTGGAATTAAACTTGGGGGTTTATGCGAATGCAAACATTTGTTAAGTATTGCTGAACATTAAAAAAAAAAAAAAAAAAAAAAAAAAAAAAAAAAAAAAAAAAAAACTCTATTCTACGCGCCTAATTTAGCTGACGCTAGCTTAGAAATTGAATTCTGATTTGCCTGTTCAACGTTGGTGTAAAATGAATGGTAGTTTGTATCAAAATGTGACGGTGGTGTATAATTAAAGGTGGTGTGTATATGTAGACACCAAAATGTATCTCTCCAAAATAGTGCATGATGTTCATCATCGTTTATTTTGGTTCGGGTTGCATAATGGATATAAAAATTGCTTGATTATCCCTTTTGTTTTAACCCAAAGCTATTTTAAGACATTTTAGCCTTTTGAATAGCCCAAAATATTTGTTTACCCAAAATCCAAAAACCCAAGTGGCCTGTTTGGTCAATTGATCTAAGCTAAACCCTTGTGCAACTACAATAGCTGCAAAACCAGCCCATTAAAGAAGCCTAATTACAAACGCGCCCAATTGTAAACGCGATCCAAACAAAAACGCAGCCCACCCATACAAATTTTACAGAAAAACCGTCACTTCCCAACCGCCATATACTTTTTTAAATATAATTGTTTTAAAAAAACCGTTTAGTCATTTCAAAATTAAATTTTTGGGTTTAATTTCTTCTCCCTGTGATTTTCTCTCTTTAATAATCAAACAAAGTTTATTCTCTTTCCTCTATTTGATTTGGATACCTTATGTTCATCGAATGTTTTGAAATTTTACAGAAAAATTGTCACTTCCCAACCGCCATATTTTTTATAAAATATAATTAAAAAAAATAAAAATCGTTTACCCTATATTAGTGCATGTTCATTATTTGGATACCTTATATTCATAGAATGTTTTGAAATGTTCATAATATAAATATTTGTTGTTCATATGATAAATATTCTTAAGTATTAATGTTCATAAAATATGTTCATATTTTGAATGCTTATATTCACTTTCTGAAATGCATATGTTCACTTTCAGGGAACCAATGCATTATGTTCATATTTTGAATGTTTATGTTCACTTTCTTAAATGCATATGTTCACTTTCTGAAATGCATATGTTCACTTTCAAGGAACCAATGCATATGTTCATAATTTGAATGCGTATGTTCATTTTCTAAAATGCATATATTCATATTTTTAAAGCATATGTTCATATTTTTAATACTTATAATGCGGATGTTTCATAATCATTTTATTTTATATTTCTTCAATTTTCTTGTGTTCATAATTAAATACCTTATGTTCATAATATTAGTATGTATGTTCATTCTGTAGGAGGAATTAGGAAATAAATTGAAGGATCCTTCAAAATCACAAAATCAATCGAAATTCATCACGAAATCAACAAATAATCAATGAAATTAATATTCATCAGAATTTTTTTTTTTTTAAAAAAAAACCAATGCAAATACATCGGAAAAATCAGAAAATCAATTCATATTAATTACATATTCATAAACCTAACTAATTACATAATAATTACAAACGAAATACAGTTACAAATGAAGCAAAATCTAACCTAAATAAACCTAATTATAAATCAACAACACAAAAAGCTAACCTGCATTAACGGTCTATGCGAGAATAACAACTAAATCCATACTAGGCAATGAAATCAATTAAAAACAAAATTAGAGAAAATAGAGGAGAGAGAAAATCTTGAATAAAAGAGAAAATAGAAAAAACAAAGGAGAGAGAAAATGTAGATCGAAAGAGAAAATAAAGGAGAGAGAAAATTGGGATCAAAATTATTGTAGGAAAGAAAAAAGCTAAGAAAAGGGAAAGAAGGAAACTAAGAAAAAGGAAAGAAGGAATCCCAGGGAAGGAACAACATTAAAGAAATGAGGAAGAAGAAGTTAGTGCTGCGTTTCATTAAAAAACAACTGCGTTTAGCAGTGGTGTAGCTATTTTAGCTGCACAAACATACAACCAAGAATATGCCCTATTTGGTGCTATGAATTTGATTTCAAATTCTAATTTGGGCCAAATGAGTTGTTTGGGACTTTGGGTAATGCAAGAATTTGAAATTCTAATTTGGGCAAAATCTAAGCCTTTAAATAATTATATTCAGGTTATTGAATTACTAATTTTATCTCAAATGATGTTATTTCAAATTCTCACATTAAATTAAAAGAAAAATAAAAAAAAGGAAAATTTAACAGAATAATCCAACCTTTGCTCGATTCTCCCAAATTAATCCAACCTTTCGATTATTTTTTAATAATCCAACCTTTGCCACCCATTTTCTTGTAGCAAACCTATGTGATCAGTTACCTAAATATCAGGTAAAATATTTTTTTTTTCCTCCTATTCCCTCATCCTTCTTCCTCCTTACTGACATCAATGGATGGCAGCCCAACCCACTACCCAACCATCAACAATGGCTTCCTATCTCTCTCCTCCTTCCTCCTCCCCTCTTTAACACCTTTCCACCTTCAAGTACAACAACCATCACCCATCTTCTTCATCCCTCAACCCCATAACCACAACCAACCCCTTCTCCAATTCTCCTCCGACCACCACAAGATACTGCTACCCACCCCTCTCGCCACCCTATTTGGATAAAAACCACCCCAAATCTCAAAACCATGATTAATTGTAATACCAAAGAAACTCAAACCCCTACAATTTCTCTCTCCTCATTTAGAAATGTTGATGTTATTGATTTGATGTTGGTCGTGGTTATGGTCGTAATGCTCGTGTAAGTGGTCGGAATGGGATTTGGTGAGGTCGTATAGGTGGTGGGCTGGTGTTTTTGGTGTTGGGTCATGTATTAGGGATTTAGGGTTGGAGGTGGGTCATGATTGTAGGTTAGGAGTGAGTCGTGGATGGGGGTGAAGTGTGTTGTGGTTGGGGGTCGGGTTATGTTGGTTGTGGTGTTTTGAGGTTTGTGGTGGCGTGTGTGGTGCAGGGAGGCTGTCTGTGTGGTGGAAGGGGTGGGATTTTTTTCTGCTTGGGTGGTGGAAGTGAGGCCGGTTGTGGACAGTGTTAGTGCGTGGTGGCTATAAAAGTGACGGTGGTGGATGGGGTCTGTTAATGGTGGCCATGAAAGGAGCAGGAGGGAGATATAAGAAAGGAAGGTTTTTTTTTTTTGTTTTTTTTATATATATAATTATATTTAACCAATGAGGAAGTGACATGTGGATTGACAACCGGTTGTATGGGCGGGGTGACCTGTTGGGGTTGCTACGAGAAAATGGGTGGCAAAGGTTGGATTATTAAAAAATAATCGAAAGGTTGGATTAATTTGAGAGAAACGAGCAAAGGTTGGATTATTCTTGTTAAATTTACCAAAAAAAAATTCTCTCTCCTGGGGGTCTTTTTTCCTTTCCCCAATTTTTTTCTCTCTACTCTATTGAAGCAGCTTGTGAACTCTCTTGTCTCAGCCTCTATGTGGTAGCCTACTCTAAATCCTCCATTAAAGCAACTTCTTAGCTATCTCTTTATTAAATGTCGTTTGAATACAACCTCGAAGTGTACTTTGTAATCTCTATTGAAGTAGTGTGTAGCTTTCTATCCTCCATTACAGCGGCCCTTGAGCTTTCTCCTCCATTGAAAAGCTTCTAAGGTAGTATATTCTTTTATTTTTGAATATCAATTTGCCGACCACCGTAATGACCACCATTGAAAAGTGGCAGGTGCTTGGTTTGGATGCCAATTTTGGTTGACTAATGTCGATTTCTCACTTATATGGGTCAACAATTTGGGGGATTTAAATGAACATATGAGGAAGAGAGAGATTGGATGAACAATTTGGGGAAATTGAATGTCAGGGAGAGAAGAGCAAGGAAGAGAGAATTTGAATGATTAATTTGAAATTCTAAGTTTTTTCCAAATAGAATTTGGAATTATTGAATATTAGTAATTCAAATTACAAAATTAACATTCTAGATTTCAAATAAAATGCTTGAATCCAAACACTACCTAGCATGCATGATTTTCTCCTCATTACCTTAGCCTGATACCCTAGCTCATTTGATTCTCGAGCTTTAGAATTATACTTGTATAAGAATATGAATGAATGGATAAAGTCAATAATACAATCGTATTACTAGAGGAGAAGATTACATCCATGTTCATACATTGGAATGATTAAATGATCAGTTTATTATTTTGCTCGTATATGCTTCGTTCTAATCAGAATTGGGCTCATGATATCATTGGAAAATTTACAACACACCCCTTATATTGACCATATCTTAAAATTTACAAAAGATATTGACTTGATTTTAATTGGGTTAGAATGTATACTTATAGATAAAGATTTAATTATATGCCTTATTTCAAGTTTGGGATAAAAAAGTTATGACATATATAGAATCGCCCCCCGCCTGTCAAGCAATTTTACGCAACAAGTGTGTATGGCACGCGAAGGCATGTCTCGCCATTCCTTTCACATGACAAGCGAAATCTTAGCGTGTTACGTGGGTTTTTCAATTTTTCTATCTTTTTGGTTTGTTAATCTATATATTTCCTTCTAGAAATATTTGAATAACCCTTGAGAGACCAGGTGAGTTAATCGGTTAATCCAGTATTTCAAATCAACCAAATATCCTATTTTAAGCAACTTGAAGGTCTAAAACAAAACTCAAGTGTTAAGATATATATGTAAATATATAGATTAGTAAAAGTGTATAATTAGTTTCCTTAATTGTAGCCTAGAATAGGGGATTTGATAACACTGTATATTGTATATATTGAAGGCTAAGCAATGAGAATAACTCACGGAATATAATTCCTTCATGGCATCAGCAGTCTAGGGCAAATTCCGCTGCACCCTAGTGTTGTTCCGCCATTCCCTTTCTTCTTCTTCTTCCTTTGCACGGTAACAATGTCGGACTCCAAGAACTCGTTTCATCCGGCCTTTACTGTTTCTAATATCAAAAACAACATTCCCATAACCCTTGAAATGAAGAATGTTGAATAATCTATTTGGGCGTGACTATTCAAAATTCACGCTCGATCTCTCAAGGTTCTCAACCATATTATTGCTCCGAAAAAGAAGGTAGCCGCACCTTCAATTGACGACGAAAAGGAGCTATGGTCGACATT